TGACAGGCGTCTGCTGATCAGTAAAATTGCGATAAAACAATCTGCAAAAATTGACGAGGACGGTCTAGACACGAAGACGTATGGATGGCGTCCGCGCCTCCTCCGGAACCAACTGCACGACATTGAGGGACGCTTCCAAAGGCAGTCGCGTGGTATGCGTCCTTATAAAATATTAGTAGGTTAAATGTCGGAAACTTTATGAATAATTTTTCTACTATGCGCACGTGCTAACATTACTGGCTCAACATCATAGGTCGACATCGTGTTACGAGGCATGTCCTGCTTATTGGGTTGTACTTCATAGCTGCGAAAGCCCCTGGTATTTATGGCATTGAAGGTCTCTGCTTCGCTGCCATTGTGGATGGTGGTCCATTGGATCACCTCTCTCAGCTACTCCTTCCAAGGACGTGTTTGCTCTGCCTGCTTGTTGTTAATTCTCGGGCTTCGGGCTTTTTTTGAATGAGCCTATTGTTATGCGCACATGTTAACATCTTTTGGCTCAATATCATACGTAGACATCGTTTCACGAGGCATGTCCTGCTTGTTGGGTTGTGCTTCATAGCTGTGAAAGCCCCTGGTATTTATGGCATGGAAGATCTCTGGCGCGCTGCAAGTGTGGATGGTGATCCAAGTGTGGATTGGATCACCTCTCTCAACGCTGCAAGTGTGGATTGGATCACCTCTCTCAACGTGCATTTCATCTTCGACCGCCCCACAGTCGCATCTGCAGATGCTTGAATCAAGGTGTTTAGACGCAGTATCCCTGCTTAAACTCTTCGTATGGCACGATACTGCAGAAATGGCCAGGATGCGCAGCTTCGTCAGCCTGCTTTTTATGTTTCAAGTTTTACTTCGTTTGATCATATACCCGCTGTAAAATTGCATTGGTTTTTTACGCACTTGCATTGCCATCGCCTCGCGCCTGTATGGCACTGTGTGTTTCCGTGTCACGGCACCCTTCTATTAGGATTGGGCCCCCCAGCCGAAATTAAGGTTTTACCGAATCAGTCACACGATAACAGCTCCACGATAAGGATTACGACACGACCAAGAGGATTCGGATTGGGACCCCAGCCTCAGAGTTAGGAATACGGTCCGGCCCCAGGATTAGGATTGGGACCCCCCCCAGGATTGGGATTGGGACCCGGCCACAGGATTAGGATTAGAACCCCGACCCTAGGATATGGATTAGACCACCACTCTGGATTAGGGATTAGAAGTGGTCCACCCCTGTTGAGATTAGAGGATTGCTGACCGGTACCCACCCCCTGGATTAGAGGATTAGGACCACTTTGCACCCCTCTGGCCTCATCGTTTTTGTATAAGCGTACTAGCTGAGGGTTTGTGTCCAGTGAAGTTAG